TGAATATATACTTTGGGAGAGTGGAGAGATAGTGTGGAGTAGTGGAGAGATAGTGGAGAGATACTGTGGGAGAGTGGAGAGAAAGTGTGGGAGTATGGAGAGATAGTGTGGGAGAGTGGAAAGATAGTGTGGGTGAGAGGAGAGATAGTGTGACAGAGTTGAGAGATAGTGGAGAGATACTGTGGGAGAGTGAAGTGATAGTGTGGGAGTGTGGAGAGATGGTGTGGGAGAGTGGAGAGATAGTGAGGGAGAGTGGATAGATAGTGTGACAGAGTGGAGAGATAGTGGTGAGCTAGTGTGGGAGAGTGGAGAGATAGTGTGGGAGCGTGGAGAGATAGAGTGGGAGAGTTGAGAGATAGTGTGGGACAGTGGAGGGATGGTGTGGGATAGTGGAAAGGTAGTGTGGGAGAGTGGAGAGATAGAGTGGGAGAGTGGAGAGATAGTGTGAGAGATTGTGTGGGAGTGTGGAGAGATAGTGTGGGAGAGTGGAGAGATAGTGTGACAGAGTGGAGAGATAGTGGAGAGATTGTGTGGGAGAGTGGAAAGATAGTGTGGGAGAGTGGAGAGATACTGTGGGAGAGTGGAGAGATAGTGTGGATAAGTGGAGTGATAGTGTGGGAGAGTGGATATATAGTTTGGGAGAGTGGAGAGTTAGTGTGGGAGAGTGGAGATATAGTGTGGGAGAGTGTAGAGATAGTGTGGGAGAGTGGAGAGATAGTGTGACAGAGTGGAGAGATAGTGGAGAGATTGTGTGGGAGAGTGGAGAGATAGTGTGGGAGAGTGGAGAGATAGTGTGGGAGAGTGGATATATCATTTGGGAGAGTGGAGAGATAGTGTGGGAGAGTGGAGAGATAGTGTGGGAGAGTGGAGAGATAGTGTGGGAGAGTGGAGAGATAGCGTGGCAGAGAGGAGAGATGGTGTGGCAGAGTGGAAAGATGGTGTGGGAGAGTGCAGAGATAGTGTGGGAGAGTGGAGAGATACTGTGGGAGAGTGGAGAGAAAGTGTGGGAGTATGGAGAGATAGTGTGGGAGAGTGGAAAGATAGTGTGGGTGAGTGGAGAGATAGTGTGACAGAGTTGAGAGATAGTGGAGAGATACTGTGGGAGAGTGAAGAGATAGTGTGGGAGTGTGGAGAGATGGTGTGGGAGAGTGGAGAGATAGTGAGCGAGAGTGGATAGATAGTGTGACAGAGTGGAGAGATAGTGGTGAGCTAGTGTGGGAGAGTGGAGAGATAGTGTGGGAGCGTGGAGAGATAGAGTGTGAGAGTTGAGAGATAGTGTGGGACAGTGGAGGGATGGTGTGGGATAGTGGAAAGGTAGTGTGGGAGAGTGGAGATATAAGTGACAGAGTGGAGAGATAGTGTGGGAGAGTGGAGAGATAGTATGGGAGAGTGGAGAGATAGTGTGGGAGTGTGGAGAGATAGTGTGGGAGAGTGGAGAGATAGTGTGGGAGAGTGGAGAGATAGTGTGGCAGAGTGGAAAGATGGTGTGGGAGAGTGCAGACATAGTGTTTGAGAGTGGAGAGATAGTGTGACAGAGTGGAGAGATAGTGTGGGAGAGTGGAGAGATAGTGTGGGAGAGTGGATATATCATTTGGGAGAGTGGAGAGATAGTGTGGGAGAGTGGAGAGATAGTGTGGGAGAGTGGAGAGATAGTGTGGGAGAGTGGACAGATTGTGTGTGAGAGTGGAGAGATAGTGTGGCAGTGTGGAAAGATAGTAGGGGAGAGTGGAGAGCTCGTGGAGAGATAGTGTGGGAGAGTGGAGAGATAGTGTGTAAGTGTGGAGAGATTGTCTAGGAGAGTGGAGAGATGGTGTGGGAGAGTGGTCAGATAGTGTGGGAGAATGGAGAGATAGTGTGGGACGGTGGAGAGATAGTGGAGAGATAGTGTGGGAGAGTGGAGAGGTAGTGTGGGAGTGTGGAGAGATGGTGTGGGAGAGTGGACAGATAGTGTGGGAGAGTGGAGAGATAGTGTGGGAGAGTGGAGAGATAGTGTGGGAGAGTGGAGAGATAGTGTGGATGAGTGGAGTGATAGTGTGGGAGAGTGAATATATACTTTGGGAGAGTGGAGAGATAGTGTGGAGTAGTGGAGAGATAGTGGAGAGATACTGTGGGAGAGTGGAGAGAAAGTGTGGGAGTATGGAGAGATAGTGTGGGAGAGTGGAAAGATAGTGTGGGTGAGTGAAGAGATAGTGTGACAGAGTTGAGAGATAGTGGAGAGATACTGTGGGAGAGTGAAGTGATAGTGTGGGAGTGTGGAGAGATGGTGTGGGAGAGTGGAGAGATAGTGAGGGAGAGTGGATAGATAGTGTGACAGAGTGGAGAGATAGTGGTGAGCTAGTGTGGGAGAGTGGAGAGATAGTGTGGGAGCGTGGAGAGATAGAGTGTGAGAGTTGAGAGATAGTGTGGGACAGTGGAGGGATGGTGTGGGATAGTGGAAAGGTAGTGTGGGAGAGTGGAGATATAAGTGACAGAGTGGAGAGAGTGTGGGAGAGTGGAGAGATAGTATGGGAGAGTGGAGAGATAGTGTGGGAGTGTGGAGAGATAGTGTGGGAGAGTGGAGAGATAGTGTGGGAGAGTGGAGAGATAGTGTGGCAGAGTGGAAAGATGGTGTGGGAGAGTGCAGACATAGTGTTTGAGAGTGGAGAGATAGTGTGACAGAGTGGAGAGATAGTGTGGGAGAGTGGAGAGATAGTGTGGGAGAGTGGATATATCATTTGGGAGAGTGGAGAGATAGTGTGGGAGAGTGGAGAGATAGTGTGGGAGAGTGGAGAGATAGTATGGGAGAGTGGAGAGATAGTGTGGGAGTGTGGAGAGATAGTGTGGGAGAGTGGAGAGATAGTGTGGGAGAGTGGAGAGATAGTGTGGCAGAGTGGAAAGATGGTGTGGGAGAGTGCAGACATAGTGTTTGAGAGTGGAGAGATAGTGTGACAGAGTGGAGAGATAGTGTGGGAGAGTGGAGAGATAGTGTGGGAGAGTGGATATATCATTTGGGAGAGTGGAGAGATAGTGTGGGAGAGTGGAGAGATAGTGTGGGAGAGTGGAGAGATAGTGCGGGAGAGTGGAGAGATTGTGTGTGAGAGTGGAGAGATAGTGTGGCAGTGTGGAAAGATAGTAGGGGAGAGTGGAGAGCTCGTGGAGAGATAGTGTGGGAGAGTGGAGAGATACTGTGTAAGTGTGGAGAGATTGTCTAGGAGAGTGGAGAGATGGTGTGGGAGAGTGGTCAGATAGTGTGGGAGAATGGAGAGATAGTGTGGGACGGTGGAGAGATAGTGGAGAGATAGTGTGGGAGAGTGGAGAGGTAGTGTGGGAGTGTGGAGAGATGGTGTGGGAAAGTGGACAGATAGTGTGGGAGCGTGGAGAGATAGTGTGGGAGAGTGGAGAGATAGTGTGGGAGAGTGGAGAGATAGTGTGGGAGAGTGGAGAGATAGTGTGGATGAGTGGAGTGATAGTGTGGGAGAGTGAATATATACTTTGGGAGAGTGGAGAGATAGTGTGGAGTAGTGGAGAGATAGTGGAGAGATACTGTGGGAGAGTGGAGAGAAAGTGTGGGAGTATGGAGAGATAGTGTGGGAGAGTGGAAAGATCGTGTGGGTGTCACAGGATCGAATGTCCCGAGGAAAGGTTTGCTCAATGTGCACTATCAATCAGTACAAGGTGCTTTTATACTTCCAGAGTACATCAGGTAACCAGGTTTATCCTATCCAAAGGGAATAGACCCTTCTAGAAATAGAATCACCATGCATATAGCCACGCGAGGCTATTGGCTATAAGGGATTACTGCAGGATTACGCTAGATATAGCCCGCCAGTACATCCCGAGCTTGGTCGGTGATATAATTAGAATAACAGGATAAACCAAAGGATAATGGAAAATGAGGAATAGGAAACCAAATGAGATGAGATAAAGACCAAATGAATCAGGATAAAAAGAGGAATGAAATAGAAAGGAAATATGAGGAAGGGGAAATTGGTGTAACGGGGTCGTACTCTCACAGTGGGTGAGTGGAGAGATAGTGTGACAGAGTTGAGAGATAGTGGAGAGATACTGTGGGAGAGTGAAGTGATAGTGTGGGAGTGTGGAGAGATGGTGTGGGAGAGTGGAGAGATAGTGAGGGAGAGTGGATAGATAGTGTGACAGAGTGGAGAGATAGTGGTGAGCTAGTGTGGGAGAGTTGAGAGATAGTGTGGGAGCGTGGAGAGATAGAGTGTGAGAGTTGAGAGATAGTGTGGGACAGTGGAGGGATGGTGTGGGATAGTGGAAAGGTAGTGTGGGAGAGTGGAGATATAAGTGACAGAGTGGAGAGATAGTGTGGGAGAGTGGAGAGATAATATGGGAGAGTGGAGTGATAGTGTGGGAGTGTGGAGAGATAGTGTGGGAGAGTGGAGAGATAGTGTGGGAGAGTGGAGAGATAGTGTGGCAGAGTGGAAAGATGGTGTGGGAGAGTGCAGACATAGTGTTTGAGAGTGGAGAGATAGTGTGACAGAGTGGAGAGATAGTGTGGGAGAGTGGAGAGATAGTGTGGGAGAGTGGATATATCATTTGGGAGAGTGGAGAGATAGTGTGGGAGAGTGGAGAGATAGTGTGGGAGAGTGGAGAGATAGTGCGGGAGAGTGGAGAGATTGTGTGTGAGAGTGGAGAGATAGTGTGGCAGTGTGGAAAGATAGTAGGGGAGAGTGGAGAGCTCGTGGAGAGATAGTGTGGGAGAGTGGAGAGATACTGTGTAAGTGTGGAGAGATTGTCTAGGAGAGTGGAGAGATGGTGTGGGAGAGTGGTCAGATAGTGTGGGAGAATGGAGAGATAGTGTGGGACGGTGGAGAGATAGTGGAGAGATAGTGTGGGAGAGTGGAGAGGTAGTGTGGGAGTGTGGAGAGATGGTGTGGGAAAGTGGACAGATAGTGTGGGAGCGTGGAGAGATAGTATGGGAGAGTGGAGAGATAGTGTGGGAGAGTGGAGAGATAGTGTGGGAGAGTGGAGAGATAGTGTGGATGAGTGGAGTGATAGTGTGGGAGAGTGAATATATACTTTGGGAGAGTGGAGAGATAGTGTGGAGTAGTGGAGAGATAGTGGAGAGATACTGTGGGAGAGTGGAGAGAAAGTGTGGGAGTATGGAGAGATAGTGTGGGAGAGTGGAAAGATAGTGTGGGTGAGTGGAGAGATAGTGTGACAGAGTTGAGAGATAGTGGAGAGATACTGTGGGAGAGTGAAGTGATAGTGTGGGAGTGTGGAGAGATGGTGTGGGAGAGTGGAGAGATAGTGAGGGAGAGTGGATAGATAGTGTGACAGAGTGGAGAGATAGTGGTGAGCTAGTGTGGGAGAGTGGAGAGATAGTGTGGGAGCGTGGAGAGATAGAGTGTGAGAGTTGAGAGATAGTGTGGGACAGTGGAGGGATGGTGTGGGATAGTGGAAAGGTAGTGTGGGAGAGTGGAGATATAAGTGACAGAGTGGAGAGATAGTGTGGGAGAGTGGAGAGATAGTATGGGAGAGTGGAGAGATAGTGTGGGAGTGTGGAGAGATAGTGTGGGAGAGTGGAGAGATAGTGTGGGAGAGTGGAGAGATAGTGTGGCAGAGTGGAAAGATGGTGTGGGAGAGTGCAGACATAGTGTTTGAGAGTGGAGAGATAGTGTGACAGAGTGGAGAGATAGCGTGGCAGAGAGGAGAGATGGTGTGGCAGAGTGGAAAGATGGTGTGGGAGAGTGCAGAGATAGTGTGGGAGAGTGGAGAGATTGTGTGTGAGAGTGGAGAGATAGTGTGGCAGTGTGGAAAGATACTAGGGGAGAGTGGAGAGCTCGTGGAGAGATAGTGTGGGAGAGTGGAGAGATAGTGTGTAAGTGTGGAGAGATTGTCTAGGAGAGTGGAGAGATAGTGTGGGAGAGTGGTCAGATAGTGTGGGAGAATGGAGAGATAGTGTGGGACGGTGGAGAGATGGTGGAGAGATAGTGTGGGAGAGTGGAGAGGTAGTGTGGGAGTGTGGAGAGATGGTGTGGGAGAGTGGACAGATAGTGTGGGAGCGTGGAGAGATAGTGTGGGAGAGTGGAGAGATAGTGTGGGAGAGTGGAGAGATAGTGTGGGAGAGTGGAGAGATAGTGTGGATGAGTGGAGTGATAGTGTGGGAGAGTGAATATATACTTTGGGAGAGTGGAGAGATAGTGTGAAGTAGTGGAGAGATAGTGGAGAGATACTGTGGGAGAGTGGAGAGAAAGTGTGGGAGTATGGAGAGATAGTGTGGGAGAGTGGAAAGATAGTGTGGGTGAGTGGAGAGATAGTGTGACAGAGTTGAGAGATAGTGGAGAGATACTGTGGGAGAGTGAAGTGATAGTGTGGGAGTGTGGAGAGATGGTGTGGGAGAGTGGAGAGATAGTGAGGGAGAGTGGATAGATAGTGTGACAGAGTGGAGAGATAGTGGTGAGCTAGTGTGGGAGAGTGGAGAGATAGTGTGGGAGAGTGGAGAGATAGTGTGTAAGTGTGGAGAGATTGTCTAGGAGAGTGGAGAGATGGTGTGGGAGAGTGGTCAGATAGTGTGGGAGAATGGAGAGATAGTGTGGGACGGTGGAGAGATAGTGGAGAGATAGTGTGGGAGAGTGGAGAGGTAGTGTGGGAGTGTGGAGAGATGGTGTGGGAGAGTGGACAGATAGTGTGGGAGCGTGGAGAGATAGTGTGGGAGAGTGGAGAGATAGTGTGGGAGAGTGGAGAGATAGTGTGGGAGAGTGGAGAGATAGTGTGGATGAGTGGAGTGATAGTGTGGGAGAGTGAATATATACTTTGGGAGAGTGGAGAGATAGTGTGGAGTAGTGGAGAGATAGTGGAGAGATACTGTGGGAGAGTGGAGAGAAAGTGTGGGAGTATGGAGAGATAGTGTGGGAGAGTGGAAAGATAGTGTGGGTGAGTGGAGAGATAGTGTGACAGAGTTGAGAGATAGTGGAGAGATACTGTGGGAGAGTGAAGAGATAGTGTGGGAGTGTGGAGAGATGGTGTGGGAGAGTGGAGAGATAGTGAGGGAGAGTGGATAGATAGTGTGACAGAGTGGAGAGATAGTTGTGAGCTAGTGTGGGAGAGTGGAGAGATAGTGTGGGAGCGTGGAGAGATAGAGTGTGAGAGTTGAGAGATAGTGTGGGACAGTGGAGGGATGGTGTGGGATAGTGGAAAGGTAGTGTGGGAGAGTGGAGATATAAGTGACAGAGTGGAGAGATAGTGTGGGACAGTGGAGAGATAGTATGGGAGAGTGGAGAGATAGTGTGGGAGTGTGGAGAGATAGTGTGGGAGAGTGGAGAGATAGTGTGGGAGAGTGGAGAGATAGTGTGGCAGAGTGGAAAGATGGTGTGGGAGAGTGCAGACATAGTGTGTGAGAGTGGAGAGATAGTGTGACAGAGTGGAGAGATAGTGTGGGAGAGTGGAGAGATACTGTGGGAGTGTGGAGAGATAGTGTGGGAGAGTGGAGAGATAGTGTGGGAGAGTGGAGAGATAGTGTGGCAAAGTGGAGAGATAGTGTGGCAGAGTGGAAAGATGGTGTGGGAGAGTGCAGAGATAGTGTAAGAGAGTGGAGAGATAGTGTGGCAGAGTGGAGGGATAGTGTGGCAGAGTGGAACGATGGTGTGGGAGAGTGCAGAGATAATGTGTGAGAGTGGAGAGATAGTGTGACAGAGTGGAGAGATAGTGTGGGAGAGTGGAGAGATAGTGTGGGAGAGTTGAGAGATTCTATGGGAGTGTGAAGAGATAGTGTGGGAGAGTGGAGAGATAGTGTGGGAGAGTGGAGAGATAGAGTGGCAGAGTGGAGAGATAGTGTGGGAGAGTGCAGAGATAGTGTGGGAGAGTGGAGAGATACTGTGGGAGACTGCATATATAGTGTGGGATAGTGGAGAGATAGTGTGACGGAGTGGAGAGATAGTCGAGAGATTGTGTGGGAGAATGGAGAGATAGTGTGGGAGAGTGGAGAGATAGTGTGGATGAGTTGAGTGATAGTGTGGGAGAATTGAGAGATAGTGTGGGAGAGTCGAGAGATAGTCTGGCAGAGTGGAGAGATTGTGTGGCAGAGTGGAAAGATGGTGTGGGAGTGCAGAGATAGTGTGGGAGAGTGGAGAGATAGTGTGGGAGAGTGGAGAGATAGTGTGGGAGAGTGGAGAGATTGTGTGGTAGAATGGAGAGATAGTGTGGGAGAGTGGAGAGATAGTGTGGATAAGTTGAGTGATAGTGTGGGAGAATGGAGAGATAGTGTGGGAGAGTGGAGAGATAGTGTGGCAGAGTGGAGAGATTGTGTTGAGATAGTGTGACAGAGTGGAGAGATAGTGGAGAGATATTGTGGGAGAGTGAAGTGATAGTGTGGGAGTCTGGAGAGATAGTGTGGAAGAGTGGAGTGATAGTGAGGGAGAGTGGATAGGTAGTGTGACAAAGTGGAGAGATGGTGGTGAGATAGTGTGGGAGAGTGGAAAGATAGTGTGGGATAGAGTGGGAGAGTGGAGAGATAGTGTGGGAGTGTGGAGAGATAGTGTGGGAGAGTGGAGAGATAGTGTGGGAGAGTGGAGAGATAGTGTGGATGAGTGAAGTTATAGTGTGGGAGAGTGGATATATAGTTTGGGAGAGTGGAGAGATAGTGTGGGAGAGTGGAGATACAGTGTGGGAGAGTGTAGAGATAGTGTGGGAGAGTGGAGAGATAGTGTGACAGAGTGGAGAGATAGTGGAGAGATTGTGTGGGAGAGTGGAGAGATAGAGTGGGAGAATGGAGAGATAGTGTGAGAGATTGTGTGGGAGAGTGGAGAGATAGTGTGGGAGAGTGGAGAGATAGTGTGACAGAGTGGAGAGATAGTGGAGAAATTGTGTGGGAGAGTGGAGAGATAGTGTAGGAGAGTGGAGAGATAGGGTGGGAGAGTGGAGAGAGTGTGGATAAGTGGAGAGATAGTGTGGGAGAGTGGAGATATAGTGTGGGAGAGTGTAGAGATAGTGTGGGAGAGTGGAGAGAGTGTGACAGAGTGGAGAGATAGTGGAGAGATTGTGTGGGAGAGTGGAGAGATAGTGTGGGAGAGTGGAGAGATAGTGTGGGAGAGTGGATATATCGTTTGGGAGAGTGGATAGATAGTGTGGGAGAGTGGAGAGAGTGTGGGAGAGTGGAGAGATAGTGTGGGAGAGTGGAGAGATTGTGTGACAGAGTGGAGAGATAGTGTGACAGAGTGGAGAGATAGTGGAGAGATTGTGTGGGAGAGTGGAGAGATAGTGTGGGAGAGTGGAGAGATAGTGTGACAGAGTGGAGAGATAGTGGAGAGATTGTTTGGGAGAGTGGAGAGATAGTGTGGGAGAGTGGAGAGATAGTGTGGGAGTGTGGAGAGATAGTGTGGGAGAGTGGAGAGATAGTGTGGGAGTGTGGAGAGATAGTGTGGATGAGTGGAGAGATAGTGTGAGAGACTGTGTGGGAGAGTGGAGAGATCGTGTGGGAGAGTGGAGAGATAGTGTGACAGAGTGGAGAGATAGTGGAGAGATTGTGTGGGAGAGTGGAGAGATAGTGTTGGAGAGTGGAGAGATACTGTGGGAGAGTGGAGAGATAGTGTGGATAAGTGGAGTGATAGTGTGGGAGAGTGGATATATAGTTTGGGAGAGTGGAGAGATAGTGTGGGAGAGTGGAGATATAGTGTGGGAGAGTGTAGAGATAGTGTGGGAGAGTGGATATATCATTTGGGAGAGTGGAGAGATAGTGTGGGAGAGTGGAGAGATAGTGTGGGAGAGTGGAGAGATAGTGTGGAAGAGTGGAGAGATAGTGTGGGAGAGTGGAGAGATAGCGTGGCAGAGAGGAGAGATGGTGTGGCAGAGTGGAAAGATGGTGTGGGAGAGTGCAGAGATAGTGTGAAAGTGGAGAGATTGTGTGTGAGAGTGGAGAGATAGTGTGGCAGTGTGGAAAGATAGTAGGGGAGAGTGGAGAGCTCGTGGAGAGATAGTGTGGGAGAGTGGAGAGATAGTGTGTAAGTGTGGAGACATTGTCTGGGAGAGTGGAGAGATGGTGTGGGAGAGTGGTCAGATAGTGTGGGAGAATGGAGAGATAGTGTGGGACGGTGGAGAGATAGTGGAGAGATAGTGTGGGAGAGTGGAGAGGTAGTGTGGGAGTGTGGAGAGATGGTGTGGGAGGGTGGACAGATAGTGTGGGAGAGTGGAGAGATAGTGTGGGAGAGTGGAGAGATAGTGTGGGAGAGTAGAGAGATAGTGTGGATGAGTGGAGTGATAGTGTGGGAGAGTGAATATATACTTTGGGAGAGTGGAGAGATAGTGTGGACTAGTGGAGAGATAGTGGAGAGATACTGTGGGAGAGTGGAGAGAAAGTGTGGGAGTATGGAGAGATAGTGTGTGAGAGTGGAAAGATAGTGTGGGTGAGTGGAGAGATAGTGTGACAGAGTTGAGAGATAGTGGAGAGATACTGTGGGAGAGTGAAGTGATAGTGTGGGAGTGTGGAGAGATGGTGTGGGAGAGTGGAGAGATAGTGAGGGAGAGTGGATAGATAGTGTGACAGAGTGGAGACATAGTGGTGAGCTAGTGTGGGAGAGTGGAGAGATAGTGTGGGAGCGTGGAGAGATAGAGTGGGAGAGTTGAGAGATAGTGTGGGACAGTGGAGGGATGGTGTGGGATAGTGGAAAGGTAGTGTGGGAGAGTGGAGATATAAGTGACAGAGTGGAGAGATAGTGTGGGAGAGTGGAGAGATAGTATGGGAGAGTGGACAGATAGTGTGGGAGTGTGGAGAGATAGTGTGGGAGAGTGGAGAGATCGTGTGGGAGAGTGAAGAGATAGTGTGGCAGAGTGGAAAGATGCTGTGGGAGAGTGCAGACATAGCGTGTGAGAGTGGAGAGATAGTGTGACAGAGTGGAGAGATAGTGTGGGAGAGTGGAGAGATAGTGTGGGAGAGTGGAGAGATACTGTGGGAGTGTGAAGAGATAGTGTGGGAGAGTGGAGAGATTGTGTGGGAGAGTGGAGAGATAGTGTGGCAAAGTGGAGAGATAGTGTGGCAGAGTGGAAAGATGGTGTGGGAGAGTGCAGAGATAGTGTAAGAGAGTGGAGAGATAGTGTGGCAGAGTGGAGGGATAGTGTGGCAGAGTGGAAAGATGGTGTGGGAGAGTGCAGAGATAGTGTGTGAGAGTGGAGAGATAGTGTGACAGAGTGGAGAGATAGTGTGGGAGAGTGGAGAGATTGTGTGACAGAGTGGAGAGATAGTGTGACAGAGTGGAGAGATAGTGGAGAGATTGTGTGGGAGAGTGGAGAGATAGTGTGGGAGAGTGGAGAGATAGTGTGGGAGAGTTGAGAGATTCTGTGGGAGTGTGGAGAGATCGTGTGGGAGAGTGGAGAGATAGTGTGGGAGAGTGGAGAGATAGTGTGGCAGAGTGGAGAGATAGTGTGGGAGAGTGGAGAGATAGTGTGGGAGAGTGGAGAGATAGTGTGGATGAGTGAAGTTATAGTGTGGGAGAGTGGATATATAGTTTGGGAGAGTGGAGAGATAGTGTGGGAGAGTGGAGATGTAGTGTGGGAGAGTGTAGAGATAGTGTGGGAGAGTGGAGAGATAGTGTGACAGAGTGGAGAGATAGTGGAGAGATTGTGTGGGAGAGTGGAGAGATAGAGTGGGAGAGTGGAGAGATAGTGTGAGAGATTGTGTGGGAGAGTGGAGAGATAGTGTGGGAGAGTGGAGAGATAGTGTGAAAGAGTGGAGAGATAGTGGAGAAATTGTGTGGGAGAGTGGAGAGATAGTGTGGGAGAGTGGAGAGATAGTGTGGATAAGTGGAGTGATAGTGTGGGAGAGTGGATATATAGTTTGGGAGAGTGGAGAGATAGTGTGGGAGAGTGGAGATATAGTGTGGGAGAGTGTAGAGATAGTGTGGGAGAGTGGAGAGATAGTGTGACAGAGTGGAGAGATAGTGGAGAGATTGTGTGGGAGAGTGGACAGATAGTGTGGGAGAGTGGAGAGATAGTGTGGGAGAGTGGATATATCGTTTGGGAGAGTGGAGAGATAGTGTGGGAGAGTGGAGAGAGTGTGGGAGAGTGGAGAGATAGTGTGGGAGAGTGGAGAGATAGTGTGACAGAGTGGAGAGATAGTGTGACAGAGTGGAGAGATAGTGGAGAGATTGTGTGGGAGAGTGGAGAGATAGTGTGGGAGAGTGGAGAGATAGTGTGACAGAGTGGAGAGATAGTGGAGAGATTGTTTGGGAGAGTGGAGAGATAGTGTGGGGGAGTGGAGAGATAGTGTGGGAGTGTGGAGAGATAGTGTGGGAGAGTGGAGAGATAGTGTGGATGAGTGGAGTTATAGTGTGGGAGAGTGGATATATACTTTGGGAGAGTGGAGAGATTGTGTGGGAGAGTGGAGATATAGTGTGGGAGAGTGTAGAGATAGTGTGGGAGAGTGGATAGATAGAGTGGGAGAGTGGAGAGATAGTGTGAGAGATTGTGTGAGAGAGTGGAGAGATAGTGTGACAGAGTAGAGAGATAGTGGAGAGATTGTGTGGGAGAGTGGAGAGATAGTGTGGGAGAGTGGAGAGATAGTGTGGGAGAGTGGATATATCATTTTGGAGAGTGGAGAGATAGTGTGGGAGAGTGGAGAGATAGTGTGGGAGAGTGGAGAGATAGTGTGGGAGAGTGGAGAGATAGCGTGGCAGAGAGGAGAGATGGTGTGGCAGAGTGGAAAGATGGTGTGGGAGAGTGCAAAGATAGTGTGAAAGTGGAGAGATTGTGTGTGAGAGTGGAGAGATAGTGTGGCAGTGAGGAAAGATAGTAGGGGAGAGTGGAGAGCTCGTGGAGAGATAGTGTGGGAGAGTGGAGAGATAGTGTGTAAGTGTGGAGACATTGTCTAGGAGAGTGGAGAGATGGTGTGGGAGAGTGGTCAGATAGTGTGGGAGAGTGGAGAGGTAGTGTGGGAGTGTGGAGAGATGGTGTGGGAGAGTGGACAGATAGTGTGGGAGCGTGGGGAGATAGTGTGGGAGAGTGGAGAGATAGTGTGGGAGAGTGGAGAGATAGTGTGGGAGAGTGGAGAGATAGTGTGGATGAGTGGAGTGATAGTGTGGGAGAGTGAATATATACTTTGGGAGAGTGGAGAGATAGTGTGGACTAGTGGAGAGATAGTGGAGAGATACTGTGGGAGAGTGGAGAGAAAGTGTGGGAGTATGGAGAGATAGTGTGTGAGAGTGGAAAGATAGTGTGGGTGAGTGGAGAGATAGTGTGACAGAGTTGAGAGATAGTGGAGAGATACTGTGGGAGAGTGAAGTGATAGTGTGGGAGTGTGGAGAGATGGTGTGGGAGAGTGGAGAGATAGTGAGGGAGAGTGGATAGATAGTGTGACAGAGTGGAGAGATAGTGGTGAGCTAGTGTGGGAGAGTGGAGAGATAGTGTGGGAGCGTGGAGAGATAGAGTGGGAGAGTTGAGAGATAGTGTGGGACAGTGGAGGGATGGTGTGGGATAGTGGAAAGGTAGTGTGGGGAGAGTGGAGATATAAGTGACAGAGTGGAGAGATAGTGTGGGAGAGTGGAGAGATAGTATGGGAGAGTGGACAGATAGTGTGGGAGTGTGGAGAGATAGTGTGGGAGAGTGGAGAGATCGTGTGGGAGAGTGAAGAGATAGTGTGGCAGAGTGGAAAGATGGTGTGGGAGAGTGCAGACATAGCGTGTGAGAGTGGAGAGATAGTGTGACAGAGTGGAGAGATAGTGTGGGAGAGTAGAGAGATAGTGTGGGAGAGTGGAGAGATACTGTGGGAGTGTGAAGAGATAGTGTGGGAGAGTGGAGAGATAGT